ATAATTCAGGATAACGAAGCCAAAGATGAAATTACTACAACAAAAGATTTTAAAATTCGAATGCGAAAATATATATTAGGTGAGTAAATTCATATACAATTTTTTTTCTACAGTATAATTTCGAATGTCTCATTTTCTCGTTTACTTTGCAGCCCGAAATACCCAACTACTTTCCGGTAAAGCATTTAGTGATACAACTGATTTAATCAAATCGAAATATACAACATTTGATGCATCGAAAACAAAAACACCGGATGCTAAAAAAGCCAAAAAATCTAAAAACGATAACGATGACGATGACATTATACCACTGACAACTAGAAAAGAAGATCTTTATGATTTTAATTGTTCCATTTTAGAAGACATTCTGCGAGGAGATATTTGTTAAGAATTATTATTTACACTTGGTTTTGAAAAAAAAATTAAAATTTGTGCTTTTTTAAACTATCTTTTTTATTATATTCAAAGTAGCATATGAATAGCATTTCTTTTTTCCCCTCATTTTATGTTAACAATACATATTTACATACTAAAATATAAGCTATTTATACTGATATGTTTATTTTAATAAAAATAAAAAATAATGAACTATATAAATATGTTTTTTTTTATGAATTAAAAACATAATAGGTTCGTTCGTTTACTCAATAATTTGTAAAAATGATTACAAAATGTTGTTCGTTACCCAAAAGCCCATTAGAGAAAGAGAGTGAATTGAGAGAGCAGATTGCAAATTCTTACAAGGAGAAATTTAGCTCAGTGAAAGCACGTTTAAACTATGCCTTCTAAATCCACTCGATTTGTAAATCGGGATATCATATCATAACTGTTTAGACTAGTATTATAATGAAATAAAGTTGATTAGTCAGCTGTTATTTGTTTACGTATACATACACATTTCACTGCTTCCTTGATGTCAGCGGCAATCTTTGAATCAATATTTTAATAATTTCGTTAGAAACTGTTCTATTTTAGGTCAAAAATACATAAAACCTTTGTCGTTTTAAATTATAGTAATATTTACTATAAATGCGATCAAAAACTACATTTTCAGCAATTTCAGCAATTTTTGTCAGGCAGTTATTTTGAATATTAACAATTTTAAAGCATACTCTAAGGAGAACCTATTATTTTTTTGGGACAAAAGCAGGGTTGTATTTGAAATTATCTTGATTTAGCAAAGGATTTAGAGCGATTTAGCAATTAAATCAAAATGCACTTTATCACGATAAAAGCTATAGTTTTAAAACGCTTTAAACGTACATTTTAAATCGACTCGATTAACGAAATCCAGACATACACCCTAATTGTTTACACATACCTTTAATCATGATCTTAATGCCGATCAGCTGATGTTTGTTAGTATACAAACAAAATTATTAATTTGCACCAAAAATATTTGTTTGCAATTTGAAAATGAAAAGAAAAATTACAACAATGGAAATATTTTTGCAATACTGTGATTATTTGGGAAATAAAAAATCAACTAAAATCACAAAAATTCTATAAATAATTTTTGTTTTCCCTTAATTTTTTATTTTTGCATTTGGCAGCCGCCGAATATGAAAACAAACAACATGTAAAAACATTTGCATTATGAGAGAGTTGTATTTTTTCATACAAAAACCTAGTTGCATCTCATTAGTACCATGATTTCGAACATAATTTAAAATAAACCTTGCCGCACGATGATTTAAATTTGTATGATAAATCGTGGTGAATTTAGCCTGATTAAGATAATAAACCCTGATTCAGCCTTTAATCATGATTAAATGTTATATGTAAATTCACTTTAACAATTACCAAGATTTATTAATAAGGTCACCAAGATAGCAATCGAAATCGGAAAACAGCTGTTTTTTCTCAAGTCTAGTGTCAAAAATTTCGACTTTGTTTACGTTTTCATAATGGAAGTCAATTCACAATAATGCCTTTTGACAGCAAACTTGAGAGGTATCGATTATCAGCTGGTTTCCCTGGGTGACCTTATTTATAGGCCATGACAATTACCTTGTACCACCAGCTGATATTTAATCAGCTGCTTTGTGATGTTTTGTAAACAAACAACAAAATTGTTGTCAAGCAAATTAATTGTTTTGTGAATTTTATATTATTAAACATTAAAACGGCATATACATTAGAACTTTTCACCGGGTTAACCTACTTTATTTGATATATATGCAAAGGAATTGACAATTGAAACCCACTGTGTTAACGAAATGCGGTTAATTGTAAACGTACTATAAAATGGATGAAGAAAACGCAAGTATTTGTAAACAACATCAATTTTCCGATTGTTATCTATTTTTCTAATAAAAATACTGCTTTTTTGTTTGCGCCAAATTGTTTGTTGTTATTATTAGCTGTGTCGATACAACCTTTTTACTGGATGTTGTTCGTTTACTTTTTGCAATTTTCGAATTTAACTCTCTGCAAATTCTTACAGAGTAAATGTTACTGGGAAAGTAAAACGGCATTTACATTAGAACTTTTTACCGGGTTAACCTACTTCATGAGGATTTATTTGACATATACACAATGGTATTGACAATTGAAACCGACTGGGTTAACGAAATCCGGTATAATGTAAACGTACTATAAACGAACGTACTTTTTGAATCAATTTTAAGAGAGAACCAACAAAATGGCGTTCTCTGTGTAAACTTTTTACAGAGAACGCCAGTAAAAACGCGAGTAAAAACGGTAAACAGGAATGTCTACTTCTGATTGACTGTTATGTTGATTTTGAAGTATTGCCATCTAATTTTAGCATATTTACTAGATTTGCGTTCTCTGAGAGCGATTTTGAAAAGTTTCCTTCTTACTAGCTTTACTATTTAAAAAAAGTACTGGAACATACCATATATATCCCCATAGCTTAAATCATGGTACAATTATAAAAGGTAACAGCAAATCCCAGCTGATTTGATTCCAACGTAATACTAGTGTCAATATGAATTTGACAAATTATGTTTTTAAAAATCACCCAACAGGAAAATTGGGAACGCATACAATTTGAAATTGTTCTTTATTAAATGTGCTCTCGTATTCAATTTACTCAATCTGCCTGCTGGGAAAGTTTGAGGAAGCAAATCTTTCTTCAAGGAATAACTCGCTATTCCCAGCATTTTCATATGTGTTACACATATATATGGCAATGGCTCAATTATAGGAAATATGTGGAAGCGATAGAAATATAAATTTGAAAGATTTTCATTCATGTTTTTCAATTTTTATTTTGAGGATTCGAAAATATTTCATTTTTAAAATAAAAATAATTTGATGATAATTTGTTTGTTTGTTTACATTTTTCTGTCAAATGAGTTGACACTAGTAGAACTTACAACAACAAATTTCCATGTGGTTGTTGTATCGTTTTTTGTACTACAACACTTGCTGTTACCTTCTATTATTATACCATGAGCTTAAATATGAGAAATTTAAAAAACAATACGAAACCGATATTCCTGGGGGGTTGACCTTCCTTCTCTTGACGGTCTGTCTATATATACAGACGGTTCAAAGATGGATGCATGGTACAGTTTTATTTTCTTTTTCGAATATTCAATTAAGAACCAAGGTGTATTTAATAAGGTGTAAGTGACAATCATAGGGTTTCAAACTTTTTTCTTTTTTGTTTGTAAAGTAAATTGTCAAAAACATTTTCAATAACATTTCGATTTTAAAAATGGTCTTTAAATTTAGGCTTTTTTAATAATAAAAATTCAAGAAAACTACATTCATAGAGGCGAGCGGAAAGGAAACCTAGGTTTAAATCAGTTATAACCCCGTTCGCCGATTGGTCCACATATTTTATGTTATGTGTGGAAATCTGTCCATAAATCCCATCTACTCATAAAATCGAGGAGATTATGTTAGCCTATATTGGAATCGGCCCCTCGGTGCTTGTCACAATCCTCGGCGGAGGTTAAATACGCCTATGGAAAGATTTTATACGGTCAACACAATTTCCATGATTTAGTTTTTGACCGGGGATTTATGTTCTTTAATTTTCTTTAAGAAGGCAAGATTTGAAGGCACTCCATAGAAAAAATAGATTGTAATTCACAATATAAACAACATCACAAGGAGCCATGGGCTATATGTGGGAAACTCAAAATTAATCGCGACCAGGTCTTAAACTTTATTTTTTCACTAACCTCAAACCGCTAATAACCCAAGAATACACAAATTCATTAATTATTCCTCAAAGAATAGTTCTTGACAAAAATAAATTAATAATTGTTTTTGTTTATTTTTGTCAAAAACTTATTGTCAGCATGACAATTTAATTTCTATAACAACAATGTTGTTTTTGTAAAATATTTGTTGTTGTATCTGATGCATACACCTTATTCAATACACCTTGTTAAGAACACATTCAAACCATGGTACGTAGAATAATACAAGGTAGGACAGCTTGAGGTGGATAACAAAAAAACAACATTGTAGGTAATGGCTTCTTCTGTCAAATATAAAATAAATATGAATAAATGAACGTAATATTAATATTAGAAAAACAAAATTTTTTTATTGTACGTTAGAGTGTCAATGGAAACCTGATATTACACTCATTGTATGCTAAGGTCGATCAAACAGGTCGTGTAGGAAGCGAATATTATCGGCAATTTTGATTTTTTGTTTACAGTTGCATGCGTTTGAATCAAAATTGAAAGCATTTTGACAGCACTTGTGAATTCACATGGCACAATAAACAGGTCGTTTTCGACATTTTTGGATTGAAATTCCCAAAGCTGTCAAATTTTTTGTTATCGACAATTTTAGATTAAAATCTTCCAAACTGTCAAATTTTTGGTTTACATTTTCACCCGAAATTATCTGACCTCATCGGACGATCTTATTATTGTGCCAAAATGCATGCTATCAATTCAAAGTGATTAGAAAATATCTGAAGAAGAAGCAGAACAAAACAATAGAAACGTGTTAACGACGGCTCACATACGGAAAGAAGAGAAAAACTTTGGATAGCCTTTCCCACAAATAATGCAATAATGGCTCCAAGTAAGGAAGAGGAGACAACATTATCCTTGCCACAGAAAAGATATTACCGGCAACGGGCCCACTCAAATCCCATTGCAGATCATTGTTTTGATTAGTAAGTATTAAGTGAGAGAATTTCAAACCAGTACCCTACTATAATGTCAAAATCTATTCAGTCCCGCTCATCCAGATGATGTCAATTGGAAGGAGTTATACCCGGAATACGATGTATATGATCCACCCAAAAAGGTGGAATTTGCGGATATTGGTTGTGGTTATGGTGGCTTCCTAGTCACCCTGGGTGAAATGTTCCCCGATCGTTTGGCCATTGGTATGGAAATTCGTGTTAAAGTATCCGATTATGTGATGGATCGTATTAAGGCTTTACGTTCTTTGCATCCGGGAAAATATAATAATATTGCTTGTATACGCACCAATGCCATGAAGTACCTGCCGAATTATTTTGTCAAACATCAGCTGGATAAAATGTTCTTTTTGTATCCGGATCCACATTTTAAGAAGGCCAAACATAAGTGGCGTATTATTAATCAGGCTTTGCTGTCCGAGTATGCATATGTGCTGAGAAAGGGGGTAAGTGGGACGTGCAATATACAAAACATATATTTAAAGTTTGTCTATATATTTTAAGGGTCTGGTTTACACAATGACTGATGTTGAAGATCTACACAATTGGATTGTCAAGCATATGGAAGAACATCCATTGTTTGAGAGAATTTCTGCTGAGGAAGAGGTAATTTTGTGGATATAGTTTGACACTGAGTATAGTTTATTTTTTTTTTTTTTTTTGTAATTTTTATTGTAGGCAAATGATCCCATAACGCCCAAATTGTATCAAAGCAGTGAAGAAGGCGCTAAAGTGGTTCGCAATAAAGGTTCACATTTCCTGGCCATATTTCGTAGATTATAACAGGTCTGGAAATAGATTAACATTAAATAAATATCTTTGTATAACTAAAAAAAGCATGCGTTAAAATATTTGCCGTAAGTTGAGTTAGGGAAGCAGATCACGAAAATATAGGATTTTCAGGGAGATAAGGGCCCCGAAATTTTCATAATTTCGTCATCCCATTTATTTTTTAAAATATTGCTAAATATCAAAAAAGTTATTCAGTCTGGTAGAATAATTTGTTTTCCTATGAAAGTACTCCATTCAGCTATGCTGAATAATTGTTATATAATTGCTGAAAGTCTACTCAGCCCTTCGGAAAAATTTTTTTTCAGAATTACTTAACATTTATTTATAGCTGAAGAAAAATCCTCCCAAAAAAACTATTAAATTAAAATACGTTTTTTAAATATTATTATATACATTAAAGGTATTTTATTTTCAATAATTTTAGAAAAAGAATGAATAGTCCTGTGTGTGTGAAACGGAATTTGTATATCTCCACCTTCTCAATTTAATCAATTATTTCAAATATATCTTGTTCATAAACAATGTGTCAGCGTTTTCGATTTCTGGAATCTCTGGATGTTTCACGATGAGAATCACGATGTGAATTATAACTGCTATGATGATGTTTTCCAGTAGCCGATGATGATGATGACGAATGATGGTGATGATGATGCATTGTGGGACGCTTATCACGATCATCGTACTTGTCACGTCTATCGTTATTATATTTCTCAGTGTGACGTTCTCGTGAAGATTTCCTGCAAGAAAATAATAACGAAAATATAAATTAGGCTGAATTTTTAAAGGATCTTTAATTAAATCGGAACCTTTTGCTGCGATGTTTGGAATGTGGCGAACTTGATGGCGATCTAGAATAGTTACGAGACTTTTTCTTATTCTTCGATGATGGCGGTGAACGATCACGTTCCCGCTCCCGTTCTCTTTCACGTTCACGATCCCTACCACGATCACGTCGAGATTTTTTGTAACGGCTTGCCGATGTCGACCGGGATCGTGATCTTGTTCGGGATCGAGAGCGTGATCTAGAACGCGATCTAGCTGTACGTCTGGAATCTCTAGATCGTGATCTGGATGCTGAACGGGATTCTTTGCTAGGTGACTTTTCATTGGGCAGTGGTAGCGGTACGGCACGCTGTATAAAACCACCCCAGGCATTGTGGGAACCATTATTACGATCCACTGTTATAACGGCTGGTGGGGTGTGGGTTTCTTTACTTTTGTTGCGTGATTCGATATAGCGTTTCTTCAATTCCTCCACGGCTGCTTCAAGTTTCTCTACATTCGGTTTGCCACGAGTATACAACTCCATTACACGGTAACAAATGTCTATAATATCATCTTCATTGACTTGGAAAATACCATACCAGGGATTGGGATGTGTTGGCAAGGCAATATTTAACTTTCGGGCGCTTAAGTAAATGCAGGCACATGCAATCGTCTCAGGATTGTAACGCATAAAAACATCAGTGCGTAACGAGTCATTCATAAAATTCCAAGACATTTGCATTAGTTGTTGGTGTTTTTCATATTTCAAAACTTGCAGATACATGACAATCAATTTGTGGGGATGTTTTACATGGACACAGAAACCCAACTCTTTGAGAACACGGCGTTCCGCCTTAATGACTTGAGTTTTCAAATTGGTGTAATATTGATCCAAAATCATGGGAATGATTTCTCTAAAATGAAAATAAAACAAAAAACAATGAATAGGAAACATCTACAAGATAAACATTGAACTTACTTTTGTGCCCTCACTTGCTTGATGTGATGGAAAACATTGATTACATCTCGTATTCGCCTTGGTGCTTCCTCGATTTTCGACGCCAAGCAGACACAACTCATGGCCACCGTTTCCATATTGTGTCGCACAAAACTTTTCGAATAGAAAAATCTCTGAAATATTACCTGGCCCGTGGCCATAGCCACCTGTGGCAATTTCAATAAAATTCCCGCCGTTTGTATTAGCTCACATCCCAAGATGCGCAAATCCTTTTCAGTTTCGGCATCCAAGCCATCCAAATGTGATGGTGTCTCATCAAGTTTTGCCTCCGGTATTAGACTGTTCTCCAATGTCAAAACGATTTTATTATATAAACGCGGAAATGCTGGCTTATTTTCCGTGGAATTTGCATTTGCTGCATCGTTATTGGCATTATTATTTGCCATAATCATCTTTCCTTATTTTTATGTGAAATTTCACACACAGTCCGTCAGCTAGCCAGCCTCACTCGCCACCTGAATTTTGTTTGTAATCGTTGTCCTCGATAACAATCGATAAAGTGTGTGAAGAAGCATGCATTCACAATGAATTGATAGCACAGTAATGTGGCTAGTAAACATAAGTAAGGTAGTTCACATTCAATATTAAAAAGTTATTAACAGCTTTATAATGAAAATATACAAAAAGTAGATCACTTTCATGATATTATCACGGTTATAAGCGTAAATTAACACTAATACTACATTCATATCGAAAATTTTTTAAAATCATAATTTATTTGACTTATACAGGATTGCGCATTCGTGGTTTCAAAAGTAAACGTAAATAAAACACAGGATATTGTCATGATATATATTTTGTTTATTATAAAGTTTGAACGTTGATATTTGTCTGTTCCCGTACTGCAAGAATCTACTAGATATTACTATTTTCTTCGATAACATAAAGGAAAATTCGTTATCGTAGCAAAAATTTGTAGATTCTTGCAGTACGGGAACAGGCCAATTATTTGTACAAGATAAAAATTTTTTCCTTTATGACAATCAAAAATGATAGTGTATAAGGTATAATAATATGAAACGCTTAAGGTATAATAATATGAAACGACAAATTTTTTCCTTTAATAAATAAAAATAGCTTACGCGAACTGTTGCAAGCATTGATTCTTTTGCAAGAATTTTTATACTCTGGTTTTACTCTTTTATGTAATGTATAATAATATGAAACGACAAATTAATAAATAAGTGGTATGTTCCCGTAGTAAAAAGTAGTATATTCTTGCAGTACGGGAACAGACCAAATAGGAAACGACAAATTCGGGTTTTCACCAACACCTTCACTATTTTTGATTTTACTATTAAAATAATACTGAAACATGTCATATGTATGGCATTTGACAGATCTGGTTTTGTTTAACTCTATAAAAAATCTGGTCGCACCAAACTAAACAAAAACATAAAAATTTGGTCTGTTCCAGAACCCGCAAGAATGTACAATTTTTTACTACGATAACATTTTTTCCTTTATGATATCGGAAAAGATAGTCAAAATTAGTAGATTCTTGCAGTACGGGAACAAACCAATTATCTAACATAAGGATAACCCATTAATTTAGTATTCTTGATTTTACTAAAAAAAAATAGTACTGGAACACGTCATATGTATCGCATTTGACATTTCTCTTTTCTACGTCTAAAAAAATCTGGCCGCACCAAACTAAACAAGAAAAGAGAAATTCTCCAATGTTAATTTTTGAGAGAACAAAAAAACTCAAGAGAGGATACATTACTTCTCTCTTTTGAGTAATAGTCAGTGGTGGCAAATAGTATTGTACAATTGCAATAATAAAAACAAATATAAAATTAAAAATAGTTATTTTTACATTAGTTTACTGTTTCCACCATGTTTCTAATTATGTTAATATTTAATCAATTGTAATCATATACAATCAAACATCTCTATCCGAAAATATCTTGAAAAATTTGTTATCCAAGTCGCCATAACCTAGAAATAGGTCAATTCCAAATTACAATCATTTGATTTATTTTCCAATTATATAAACTTTTATTCATATGTTCATATCAACAAAACACTCAGCACCTGTTTTAAATTCAGGTTACCAAAAAATGTACCAATTCATTTAACTCATCCCATCTCTGACATTTGTACTACAAATGCCAGGCATTCATTTGTATTTTCGAAAGCCACTCGTTCACTCTCAGTCAGTCATTGCGCGCGTACGGTTGCTCGGTTGTTATACGCTTCTTACGGATGAGAAACGGTGTGTCTTCTCTCTAGAAAAAATTGAAAAAAATTCAGCCTGAAGCCAATGTGGATTACTTGCAACAACAACAAAGAGTGTGTTAATACAAAAAAGCCAATTTCATTTGAAAAGAAAAAATACAACATCCAAAAATATCTATCCCTACATAATTATCAAACAACAACAACGAAAATAGAAATTTAAATAATTTTGTTAATTAAAAAAATTGAAAAGTTGAAACTTTAAAAGGGAATTTTGCAATAGTTTTTTTTTATATTTTTCCATAAAAAAAGAAAAGAAAAAAAGAGTTCAAAGAAAACCAGACGTAATCAATTTATTTAATCAATCTCTCTCTCGCTGGTTGTCGGTAAATGCTCTCATGTGCGCGCTCTCTTTCCACCATCATAACAGTTTGCTGTTGGTAAAGTGTGTGTGTATACGATAACGACGTTGCCGTTTATTTGTGCCGCCTGCGTTGTTGTTTTTTCTTATGAAAGTGTGTAGTAGTCGTAGCGTTGATTTTGTGCGGTTTCTTATTGTTATTTTCCTATTGAGCCTCCCGTTAACTTCAAAATACACCACCACCACCGTCATTATTGTTAACAGCAGTAGCAACAACAACGACGACGCTGTCTCTGCTTAAACTTCTCACCACCATACCATAACAACACAAGTGACTGGTGTATTATCTCGTTTCTTTTAGTATTTCGTTGTTGTACAACAAAAAGGAAAACGACGAAAAAATAGCAACAACACAAAAAATTAGTGTTTGCTTGCCTGTGTATATTTTTTTATTTATGTGAAACAACAACAATTTATACAGCGCAACATATTGTAAGGTGTGGGGAAATCGATTGATTACGTACCATCATCATCACCATCTCTTCTTCCTCCTCCACCAGCACTACCACCACCACCACCCAAAACTTGCGTTAGATGTTGAATTGAAAGAAAATTAAGAAACCCAACAAGACAGATTTTGATTTTTGTTTTTTCGAAAGAAGAAATATTTAAAAATTAAATGATTTGCAATAACGAAAGAAGAAGATAACATCAAAGAAAGCGGCTTGCAATAATAAATACCCATATTAAAAAGAATAAGAAGAAAAAAAATAATAGTGAAATTTTGTTAATTATTGTGAAAAATTTTCATAAAAAAGAAAATAAAACAAAAACATGGAAAAATCAACAGACTCTAGTAGTGGTTCGTCATCATCTTCAACAACAACAACATCATCGTCGTCCTCCTCCTCCTCGTCTACGACAATATCAAGTGCTAACAATCCTGGAGAGGGTAGCCTTCAACATATGTTGAATTCTTCCAGTAAAGCTGTTTATGATGTTGCTGGTAGCCAAGCAACAACAACAACGCATTCTGACAGCAATGGCAACCCACAACAACAACAGCAGCAGCATCACCAGAAAATGCCACAAACGCCATCTACTACCCAACAGCCTACAACAGCAGCAGCAACAACGATGTACATGCAAAAGCATCATCAAAACAATAGTTGTTCTTCAACAAAAAATCAACTTAATTTACTTGGGTGTGGTCCATCGGTGGTAGTGGCGACGACGGCCTCCACAGCAACATCATCATCATCAGCTATTAATATTGGTGGAGGCAGTTTAAAGGCCTCCAACAGTAAGCATACCAACAATTCTTGTTCTATACCATCATCCTCCACTTCTAATATATCCCTTAAAAACAACAATAACACCTTGGGTCATCAATCTTGTAATTCCTCGACTGCCGTCAACAATAACGGCGCCGCCGCTGCTGCCGCCGTTATATCTTCCTCCACCATTAACTCTGTAACATCTATTGCCACCTCTAATAGTAATAATGCTGCTGCTGCGGCTGCTATTGCCTCTGCCCTGAGCGGCATTACTTCAACATCAACAACCATGGCAACATTGCCGACATCGTCAATGTCATCATCAGCAGCATCATCCTCCTCATTGTCGTCTACACAACAACAGCAACACCACCAACAAATGGCGCCTATTAATCTTAATATTAGCACAACAACCGGAGGCAATTTTAGTGTCTCGGTTGATCCTCAGATAAGTGTGGAAAATCTAAAGAAGATTATAGCCAAGAAGCTGAAGGTTGCCAAGGATCGTATCTGCTTGCTGCATAGAGAAAAGTAAGTAGAAAAGATAAATAAATAAAATATTATAGTGGTGGAGGAGAGATATGAAAAAAAAAAAATGAAAGAAGACATGTGATTGTGTGGGTGTGTGTTACTGTCCATGATGATGGACGAACTTGACAAGTCTAAAGGATGTAAAATTTTATTTTTTTAGTCTATTTATTTAATTTAACAAATGTTCTTTTATTTAGAGAGACTTTGTGCATTCAGATATGGGTGAAGTAGTCAGCCTTCATTGGACCAATAGGTTCTGGAAATTAACTGATTATCTATCCTAGCATTCTCGTATAGCTCCATGGTAACAAAATGAAGGGCAAATAATTTAATAGTACATTTATATTAAAATATGATGTTGGAAATGAGTGGATAGAGTTTGCCTTTAGTGGATTGGATCTATAGGTATTTGTATTTGTTTTATAATATTCATTATTATTAAAAATGTTTTTTTCCTTTTTATATAGATAAGGGAATGAAGTTAATAGAGGCCTGGTGTAGGAAGTTATTCTTAAAAGGAACAAAAATAGTTTCAAATGTGGTTGAAATACCAACACAATGTTGTCGAGAAGACTTCTAACATGAATCGGTATATATGATCATCATTAGCTAACGTTTGGAGTTAGAATAAGAAAAATAACTTCATTTTTAAATTGAAAATAAATTTATAGTCGAAAATAGCCCGCCGAATGAATATATAAAATACTTGAATTATAAATCGGAGGTTTTACTGTCTCCTCGGTCCAGCAAATAAAACGTTTCCACGACATAGGGGTCTACGATCCGATACGACCCATGTTACTCGGCCAACGTCAGTCAACAAACTAAACTTCATTTTTAAATTGAAAGTAAATTTCTAGTCGAAAATAACCCGACGAATGAATATTTAAAATATTTGAATTATAAATCGGAAGTTTTACTGTCTTCTCGGCCCTGCAAATAAAACGTTTCTACGACAGAGGGGGTCGACGATCCGAAACGACCCGAGTCTTACTCGGCCAACGTTAGTCACCTCATCCCATTGTGTAAAAGCTATAGGGCTGCTAAAACAACAACATCAAATAAAACTACTCCAGGACAACAAATGAAACTACTCAACAAATGCAAATTGTGTTTTCAAAAGTCGACTTTTAGATTTTTGCCAATAAGTCCATTTACGTATCCCTAATAAGGGGGTTCTACAATCCAAAACGACGACGAACGGGAACAGGCTGTCTCCTTATGACGCCAAACTATCATCTTTATTAGAAGGCGAATATCATATCACCCCTGTCATAGCTGTTTTGGACAGCCTTTCTCTCGATCTTAGGCGCCTTAGGAAAAATCTTCATAATCTACAGATAGAGAGAGGGGTTATACCCCTCTGGTGAATATGTGCATCATCTTTTCAAGTCTTCTGAGTAAGCCAATGCTATTTGCGATAAGATGAGAAGTAGGAACCTGATCCTCAGAAGCAGTAGACTGTTTAGTGAGGTTTGCGATGTATGTTATAAACAATGAAAGAGCATTCATTCAGACTTGGCGAAAAGGCCTCCATGGGAACTGCATCCCCAGAGTATAATTTTCAATGGAATGTGAATATCAAATCACACCTGGCATAGCTGTTGGACAAGCTTTCTCCCACTCTCATAGACCTTAGGAAAAATCTTCACAATCTAGAAAGAAAGTGTGGTCAAAAGGTCAACAGGTCTATTAGGCTGGCCGGACTAACATTCATACGTTCGTTAAGAAAAATAAAATATTAATGCTATTTTTGGAGATCATTCAGACAAATGTGAGTAGTCTTAACTCGGCTAACATCAATGCAACTATATCGCTTCCTTTAAGGCTCGAAATGAAGACTCAATACCAATAGCCCCATGTCCAGAATGTGAATACGGACACAGCATTAATTCAATGCCAACTCTAGGACTTCAATAAGAAGACGTCCAGGTCATTGATGCCCAAACACGTATTCTCTTTTTTCTCTTTTCGTCAGTAATTTTTTATGATGATCTCTCAGTTACGTGTGGACACAGCAACCTTCTATAATTTTGATACAGATTCTGTTCAACGCTGTTGTAAGGTATTCTTCCTTTATTATGACTCCATTTTATTTATTTAAAAACAATCAATTTATTTAAAAACATGTATATTTGCCCTATAGGCTTATGGGTCAACATGGATAGATGTTTTTCTATTGTACCCCCCTAATAAAGGTACTTTCCTATTTTATGCTGTTGAAATCGGATTATTAAACGAATTTTGTGTCTACCTTTTGGATGGGGGTTTTTTTTCAACATATAAAAACATTTTCATATTTTGTTCTTCGGTCACTAAATGAATACCCCCATTTGATGTAAATATGCGATTTCAGATTGTTGGGAAAGAAACGTGTTTAGCAAAATTTATTTTTATTTTATTTCAGTTTTTTTCGGTGTTGAGCTTTGTATTTTGTCACCGAACTTCGTTCAACCACATGGTTTTTTTCTCGTTGGCTGACTGGCTTGTTTTTTATGTTTTATTTTATTTTTTTATATTTATATACATACGAACACCACTTTGTTGGTTACCTTATCACATATTTTGTATTGTTTGTTTCTCAAGCATTCGAAAGCAATGCTAAGGCAGCGCTACGGTGCTAAAGAAAAAGTAAATCACCACCAACAAGAACAAAAACAATATGGCAGGGTGGTGATGATGATATTCTTATTGTTTTCTTTGTGAAACAATAATAATGAAAAAATATTATTAAAAAAAAGAATATTTTACTGACATACAACTAAATAAGTTCGATTTTTTACATTTTGAAACAAATATTCTTCAATGTGACAATATGGAAAATATTTGCCTTCGTTTCATTATCCTTAAGACCTTTATTTGTCCTGTTTTAATGCCTTTGCTGCTTATAAAATCTATACAACAACACATTATTTGTTGTATCCTGTTCAGATTGACTTTCTTATCTTGACACTCTGTCCTCTCTCTGCCCACCACCATTGTTTCACCACCAATGCCACATCATCATCAACGTCGTCGACTTCTACCCTTAGTAGTATCCTTCCTACACATTGCACTTTGCTACAATCATCCCATAAGAAAAAAAATACCACGCACACACAGAAACAATGAAACATATGATGTGATGGACGGACGGACGAACAGACACCACACAAACCCCGTCATGTACAATTTACTAAAACAGGTTTCCTTTTAATTTTTCAATATTTTTGTTTTTTTCTCCTTCTACTCAGGATAAAATGCTATCATTGTATTTGCCATGTGCTTGTGTGTTTGTGTCAAAAGGATGTTGCTGACGTTTCTTGGGGCGTTTCATCTTTCCAATTTTAATTTTTTTTTTGGAAACGAGTCATTGCTACGCATCACAAATCTCATACTTCGTTTATACACTTTACCATTAGGGGTTCAATTTTATGGTCTTTTTTTGTCAAGAATAATTATCAGCTATGGCGTACGGCGACACTGGGCTTCCTTCTATTTCCCTTCTTATTTTTCTTCTTCTTCTTGTGAATACCTATTTTCCCTTTGTCTTTTTTATTATTTAAAAGCAAAAAAAAAAAAAGGATTAAGGGTTCAAATGTAGAAACTGCAGTAACAGTAATTATTGCAGCATGGGTGTCGTCGTGAATATCGTTTTGAATAAAATACTTCTATTTTCAGGGGGTAGAATACTAACACTTTAAACATACATATTTCGAAAACATTAAGGGGAAGATCGAAAAAATTATATCTATACTAAAAATTTCAAATACCAAAAAATTAATTTTATTAATGAAACTCCTATGCAAATTGTTCTAGTAACCTAAGACCGTTTAAATTCGTCTATGCTTAATGCATACAAGATCTTTAATGGCTATAGAAAAAGTGTATACTCTGTGAAGAGAAGGGCGGGGACTTCTAGTCGTAACCAGTTGGCATTTTATTTTTTACGTTGGGTCTTATCCGAAATGGCTTGGCTTTCACAAGTGGTTGGTGACCCCTAGTCATAGCCGGTTGGCACTTCAGCTTAGGGCATACTCGTTGGACGTTTGAACATCCTACGTTGGGCCTTCTCCGAAGGTGGCCTGGCTTTCATGAGATGAACGTTGGTTGTTGGTGACTCCTAGTCATAACCGGTTGCCATTTTAGCTTTGGGCGTCCTCCATGAACGTTTGAACAACCTACGTTGGGTCTTATCCGAAATGGCTTCGTTGTCACAAGTGGTTGGTAACTCATAGTCATAACCGCTTGGCACTTTAGCTTTGGACTTCCTCCATGAACATTTGAACAACCTAAGTTTGGTCTTATCCAAAATTTCCAAGTGGTTGGTGATCTGTCTGCGGCATATAAACTTTCTTCCTACCATTTAAGACTCGACCGAACTTCTTTGATCAACAATGTCGACAACTACCACACATTTTGGTCGATTAGGAGCTGTTATCCATTTTTGTTGACTACTTCGAACTAACGAAACATTTTCCTAATTCTAAATAACATCCGTCACCACCTTTTTTGTCCTTTTCACAGATTTTCAACAGCACCGTCCCCGTCACAGCTATTGTCAATGGGAATAAGGGTTACCGTTGTGCGACTAATGTCACAATTTGCAACCTTTTTTAAGTCTTGTAACTCCGATTTTCAACTATTTAAGTTTTGTGGAACTTCTCTTTCCTATTTTTGTTAAGTTGTATTTTCCTTTTTTAAAATTCTCAGTGGTGACATTGATGGGGGCAGAGTAAAATAGTTGCAGTCGTCTTAATCATCATTGATTTTTTTTTTTCCACTTACTCCACTTAGCTTTTTAAATTCGTTCACATTTTATGAGCCGCAAATACAAGTATCAAATTTCCAAATAGGGCAATGTCAAATGATCATTGATGTCCTTAAGACTAACACCTTTCAGATTTCTGCAATTTCTTTTCCAATTTGTCAGTTTCCAAAATGTTATATTTTCATTAAGAATTTGGGATTGATTTGTAGTTTCCTTTAATTCTTTAAAGACGAACACTGACAATCCACAA